ATATATATATATATATATATATATATATATATATATATATATATATATATATATATATATATATATAGATAAAGGAGCACTCGAGTTTTTTTTAATAACATATGTGGAGTATCACAGTATCTTCGCGGTTTGTATTGTGTGCTGCTGTTGCTTTACTCGATTACTTTTTCTTTTTCGACACTTTTACGAGATCGTGAGAGAGTAACGACGATTTGGCGATCTTGTATAAAATGCAAACAAACGGGACTTCTCCGGCTCTAAGAAATTTCGCGTATGCACCGTGCTGCTTCATAAATGAGTTATATCTGTGACAAGACTGAACGAAGAGTAGTGGTTGAGAGTGGTTGAGAGAGGGCAAAAAGTAAGGTAAAGCGAAGTAAAACAAATCACAATAATTAAACAAAGTGCTGTACATAAGACATAAAGTAGTACTACTTTTGGATTACGAGTATGTATTGCGACTAGGCGAAATCCACTATAAACAATAAAGTGGCGTATTTCAAGGATGTCATTTTGTCTCGTCACTTCTCCATGTTCCGTGACATTTTTTTTCACGACTACATCTTTGTATCCTTTTGTCAAAACTTTTACTGATCAGATACAATGGGTCTATTTTCTATTGCTGAACTAGTGTGCACTTTCGGAACTTAAAAAGAGATAGATATACAAATAAAATTTGGTGGAAGAAAGAGGTGGAAAGAAGAGAGAACTAATGCAACCAGTTTAATAATAGAAAACAAACCCAATAATAAGAGTGACTATTTTGAAATTATCAGACGATATGTAAAATTAGCAAACAAAAAGTGACGAATTTTCATTGTTGTATTCGCTTCAAATTCGGGCGCTTCGTTTAGCATTTGATGTTACTCTACGGGGGCGTGTTCAGTGTTAATCAATCTTATCCTTGAGTGTAAGATAGAAGTGTTATCGAGTGTTATATGATATTATCATGTTGACATATGATCAATGACAGGCAGCTGTAAGTATGGCCGCGTACGGTTCTTACGATTGCTCTACAGGTAAAGTCACTTTGGATCTGTTCCTCATAGCTGTTCTTTTCTCTCCTTTCTCACATTTTCACTTTTTGATTATTTGTTTAGTTTATTTCAATGAAATTATTTCAATGTAATATACATGACACAATTTAACTAGGAAACTTTCTTATCCTTCAAATAAATTGGAAATATATTTGAACTTAGAGAACAAATGAAGTGTGAAAAGTGTAACTAGACGAACAGATGCCAACGGTATGACAGGTGTAACAAGCGCGGGTATAAGATGTAAACAGAACGATATGTAAATCGTTCTGATGAGGATTATCGTAGGGTGAATTGAAATGTACACGCTGCTACACGGTCTGTACAAGTATCTGGTGCAAAAGGACGAGTATTTCATACTGATATTGGGACTCGACAATGCGGGAAAGACGGTGAGAAAAGTCCTACATACGCTATTTTGAGGTTACGACACGTAATCATGATTTGTTTGCAGACTTATTTGGAAGCGGCGAAAACAAAATTCACGAAGAACTACAAGGGAATGAATCCCAGCAAAATCACAACGACCGTCGGCTTGAATATCGGCAAGATCGACATCGCTGGCGTTTCCTTCAACTTCTGGGATCTCGGTGGCCAGGAGGAACTCCAATCTTTGTGGGATAAAGTAATTAATAATAACTCAAGCTGACATATTACCAAGTGTCTTTCCTTTTATATATTTTCTTCTTTTTTTTTGTAGAAAATTATATAGTTTCTAGGATTCTTCTAATAAACTAACAATATTACTTTGTACTTGCAGTATTACGCAGAGTCTCATGCTGTGATTTATATCGTCGACTCGTCTGATCGTGATAGAATATCAGATTCCAAAGAAACTTTTGGTAAAATGCATCCTCTAAAATGACATTTCATATTTATCATTAGATTGAATAAGCAATTGTGTGTACAATAGTATAAAATACTTAGTTTTACTGTTTATTTTAGATAAAGTGATATCATCTGAGCACTTAACAGGTGTACCTTTATTGGTATTGGCAAACAAGCAGGATGTACCTGATTGCATGGGTGTTAGGGAAGTGAAGCCAATATTCAATCAAAGCGCACACTTAATTGGTAGAAGAGATTGCATGGTGATGCCTGTATCAGCTCTAAATGGGTAAGTAAAGCTAGTGTGGATTCACTTAATAAATTGATGAAAATGAGATACCTAACTTATCTCTTGTATTCATTATGGGAAGTAATGGCTAGTATTTATTTTGTAAAAGTGATGGTGTAGATGAAGGTATACATTGGTTGGTGGACTGTGTCAAGAGGAATAATGATGTACGACCACCTCGCAATCAGAATGACAGCTGTTTATCTTAATCAGAACATTCCTGCTCTATGATAATTGTGTAAAACGAGACATTATAATGCCAATGCACTGTACATATTTATACTGCACGTGTGTGGATGGTGTTTTCATAAATAAACAGATTTTTTCTAATACATACATCCATACCTATCCATTTTTATATCTGAAAAGATATCTCTATTATATACACCTTATTTAAGATTTATTAATATTTTTAACATTGTAAACATATATATGATGAATACAAATATTTGTAATGTGTTCTGTAATATTATTTATATATAAATAATATATTATTTATATATAATTATATTAAAATAAGCAAAACTATCAGATTCCATTAGAATCATGAATACTAAAGTTGTATGAGTGTATATATCTGATATCAAGGTAGTCGGAGAGATAAGAGATAACTTATCCACACCTTGTCCCGTGCTCTATTGTGTTAGTGATAAAAAGCCTACAAGACTGATCGTGCACAACTGCGTGATATATAGATTGTGGTTTTAGTGCTGTACACGTCGTTTAGTGTTGTGAGCTCTTTACTTATTTAATATTAACCTACCATGTGGCCTTATTATGAAACCGACGACTGGAGTGTCTTGCCATCGGAACTCAACAGAAGGTGACCATTAAAATTGTAGTACATAGTAGATAAAGGTTACATCACTGTAAACAGTACATTCTACAAAACTATCCGTTCGATAATTGCTTCTTTTCAAGCTCAATATAATTCACAGCAATATTAGGAAACATTAAACAGTGTGTATCATTTGAGCACCTCAGGATATTAAATGTGACTCATTTTCTAGGTCTCTTGCATCATACAAAAACTGTATATCACGTTAGTCACACTCTGTAGCGATGTGGAATATGAGAAGATATATATATATATATATATATTAGATTTACAAATTCTATACCAACATATAAAATGTCTCTTCCATTTTTAGTCTCGCAAAGCTGCCTGAATAGAAATAACTCTCGTCATTCTAATTGCATGCATGCACCACGTAAATTTGTATCTGAAAGAAAACAATACGGACAAACATGATGCTACCAGTCGTGCAATGACACTTGCAAAGGAAAACGCAGTTTCCGCTTGCGATTCAACAGGTAAACGAGATCTTATCGCAAAGTGATAAAAAAGCTGTTTCTGTCTTTCATATAGGTTAGGAACTAAAATCGATATAATTTCAGCAAGTCTACATATTTCTATATTGATCTACATCGACGTATTTCCAGTACTGAAAATTGTGATTTTCAAAATCGAGTGTCGTACTTCGCAATAACCAAATGAAAACAACCTCTACGTTCATACGCGAGCGTGGAAATACAATTATCGTCGTAAAGCTGATACAGCCTCGCATCGGCCTCACAAAAAATCGACTCCTCTGAAATCGTCAGATTCGCTGCGGCGGATTTTGACGGTCGCACGATATCCAAATTTCGCGCCTGTGCAATGGTGCCACATTCGCGATACCTTTTACACGTCGTGCTTACACGCGACACGACGCGCAGCGATTCTCGCGCGTTCACCTCTTTCCTCGGCCATCGCACCTCGTCTTCACGCGCCTCGTCGAGCGAGGTTATAATCCGACGAACGTGCGAGACTCACACTCGCCGTCGACGCGGCCGAGTTGAAAATTGGACGTGAGATCAAACGTGGCCTCTCCCGTCGTGTCGTTTCCCCCATGTAAAGTCCTTGACGACGTCAGTGACGACGTCGACGACGGCGACGGCCATCTTTGAGTCCGCCGTCGCGCACATATACGTGAAATTCTTGTCGTCGTCGACGGGACAGGCGGAGAGAAAGAGAGAGAGAAAGAGAGGGAGAAAGAGGGGAAGAGGGAGAGAGAGAGAGAGAGAGCGAGTGAAAGTTTAAGAAAGAGAGACAGAGCGCGAGTCTGGTGGGAAAGAGAGAGAAAGGGCAAGAGAAGAAGAGAACGGTGCACGTCGTTAGGCGGCTCGGCTATCGCGCGGGCGGGCTGCCAGCAGAGCTAGTGTGCAGTGCGTGTGGTCTGTGTGGTCGACGACCGTGAGTAGGGACTTCGCATCGCGGCTATGTTCATGGGGTTCACGCCGTCTACCAGCGACTAGCCTCCGCCTTTACGGGACTCGACGACGTCGCACGGTAACGTACGTACCCACGTCGTCATCGTGATCGGCGCAATCGGCGTGTATCGCGCCCTACCGAGATGATCTCCCGGATTTGAGTATGCGAGGAGTACCGGTGGCGAGTTTCCGAATACCTCGAGTACATACTACACCAGCAGCACCGCGGCGGCAGGAGCGTGAGGGGGCGCACGGCTCGCTCTTTCGCGACTATCGCGAAACCGTCCACCACGGGTGTGAGATCGACTTGGAAAAAGCGACGACTTCGCTCCGATCGGCTCGGCGCCGTTGCCGCCGTGCTCGTTATACCTCCGTTGTGCCCCGTCCGTAATGCTACGGCTGTAATGTAAACACAGAGGGGAAAGACCAACGTACGTTACAACGTGGTGCACAATCTTGCGACGTCGCTGCGCCGGTTCTGTCGCGAGCGAGTCACTTCCTTTTCGTCGCGTTCACTCCTGTCACGGACGTGCAGTAGTTCGTGTGCTCCTCGCACACGTTGGCCTGCGCGTCACGCGGGAAGTCAATTCTCCTCGCAAGACTCGCACCATCCGCGGCGCTTTTCATGACGGTGCTTCGCCGCGCTGAACGCAGATTTACGTTTGACAGCTGTGGCTTAACCCTTGATTCGGTATGCCCTTCAGTGCTGCGAACAGTTCCTTTATGTAAGCGTCGCCGCTGGTGTTTTGCAATATGCTGCTGCCCCGCGGACGAATCGCGCGCGACACTCCAGTCTGTGAAATCACCGCTAGTTAATATCATTATCGCGCTCGCTCGCTTGCTAGTTTACTCTCTCGTCGTGATCGCCGATGCATTCCGAGTCCGGTATGTCCTTCACGCTCCTGTCGCGAGACGCGAGTAAACGCGTGTCACGGCGATACGTAACGCATTTTTGCGCTGTGCGTTCGCAGTGAAGCCGCGTGCCAGTGCCCTATTTCATCAAGCGTTCTTGAAGCTTCACTCTTTATATTCCTCGTGTTCCATCTTTCGTGTACTGTGAATCTGTGTGCAACGCGAGGCATAGTTACGGGTTATCGTCATATAATTTCATTGCTCGTTTAAATTTATGAGCCACAGTATAATCAGGGTGTTGCTCAACACTTGTCGTCTTACTCTTGACCAAGTGGTGACAGGTATTTTTTTCCTTTAAAGGAAATCGTGAATTTATAGACTTGTCAGAATTGTATATGCATATACAAGATACATGGTGAAAGAAGGAAAAACTCCAAGGTTACTTTGTGAAATAGGGTCTAACGTTGAATATCTACTGAAAGCTCATCTATGTAAAATCTAAACTATAAGTTTGTCACATTGCTGGCATGGAACTACTAAATTGCTCCTTAAAAAATAAATATATGTAGTTTTTTCAAAGTTTAAATAATTCAGAATCCATTAACACAATACAATATTAATAAGCTTGATGATATCGTCATTGTCTTGTGTGTCTACTAGGAGGATTGCAGAGTTGTCGTCTTTTGTACTCGTCTGTGTTTGGTTTTCATTGTGAAGCTTGTGGCATAAATTTGAAACTCGAGCTGAGAAACGATGAATGCCTCAGAACATGGGTAATGCATAGTCATATGATCTTATGCATGTACTTAGTATGTTAATACTGTTGACATGGGCAGAGATGACAATGAGAAAAATATCAATTGTAGTCATCTTCATCTCTGATTATCAATATCATACCTATCAATTTCAAAATCTATATTTTCCTGTTGTTTCCTGTTTTGTTTTCTGACAATAGACAGATAAAGTTTATATCTTATAGAGGTACAGCTTTTACTTCACTTTTCTACTTTATATCTTGAAATAGATACAAAATATTGAATTACTTGCAGAAATCAGCTGTTGAGTTCATTGACAAGTGTCATTGCATGACAAGGTAGATTCTATGAGATAGGAGCGTTTTATGCTTATAAAACAGCATGGGTGTGACTTTTTCAGGTTTAACCCGGCCTTTAACATGGCCTCCATAAAGCAAGCTTTCAATGAGGCTGTAGAAAGAGGTAAGTGTATTGTTTGGTGTAATTGACTCACAATGACCATAATAGCTAATCCTTGGAACATCTGATTCTGTTTGTTCGCTATCTGCATTTTTGTTCTCGAATCTAAAAAGTAATAAAGTTAAATTATTTTTAAAGTGTGTCAATTAAATTTCCACAAAAGAATTTTGAACAATTGTAGGAATAAGCTGTAAAATTATCTTGCAAGCAAAATCTGTGGTTACCAAACATAATGCCAATTAGTACTGATGACTTTTTCACACTTTAAAAGTCTCAACAGTTAGGATGCCTGCGCCTACGCGGTTGAGGGATCTGATTAGACAAATACGAGCTGCACGGACAGCGGCGGAAGAGAGAACAGTCGTCAACAAGGAGTGTGCGTACATTCGCTCGACGTTTAGGGAAGAGGACAGCGTGTGGAGATGTCGTAACATTGCAAAATTACTATATATCCATATGCTGGGGTTCGTATCGAGATATAAAATATCCTGTTCGACAACGTGACGCGTAATGCTTCATTAAAAGGATACGCCGACGATGTTACAGATATCCAGCGCATTTTGGTCAATTGGAATGCTTAAAGCTCATCGCTTCGCCAAGATTCACGGACAAACGAATCGGTTATCTAGGGGCCATGTTATTACTGGATGAACGGCAGGACGTGCATCTCCTGATCACAAATTGTTTAAAAAAGTAACAACGCTCTCCCTCTTTTTCCTTCTAAGCGCGCTTCCACTGCGTGCGCGAAAAAAGATTAATCGTTCTTCTCCGTTGTTTGTAGTGATTTGAACAGTTCTACGCAATTCGTCATCGGTCTGGCGCTGTGCACTTTGGGTGCGATTGCGTCTCCGGAAATGGCGAGGGATCTGGCGGCCGAGGTCGAGAGATTGATGAAGTCGCCGAACGCATACATAAGGAAGAAAGCGGCGCTCTGTGCCTTTCGGATTATCAGGCGCGTGCCGGAGCTAATGGAAATGTTCCTGCCGGCGACTCGTAGCTTAATCACCGAGAAGAATCACGGGGTCCTTATCACCGGTGTCACTCTCATCACGGAGATGTGCGAGAACAGCGTCGACACGTTAAACCACTTCAAAAAGGTATACCCGAGAGAGATCATACTTCCTTCTCGTGCGTTAGTCTTAGAACAGGTTTACTATACGGCTCGATATCATAAATCTGCCCGCCGATCGAGTCATAGTGTTTGCATTACGTAATTTATCACGACTGATGTATAATTAGATCCTAGTATCGTCGATATCGAAGTTAGACAGTAGTATGGAAACCCGCAGAAAGATAAGATGTACCTATAGTGCGTACCGGTAGTGCAACTACCTGTTAGACAAATTTGATTTGGAATTGTTCGTCATAGATAATTAAATAGTACGCTCGCGCGTATAGCGTATGGAAAAGAATGCAGTCTTGACTCTTATACGAGCACAGATACATCAAAATAATGCCCGATGGAGAATATTTTAATGGCGTTACGCGTCGTTTATATGTATGATACGCAGCAGGATTTTGCTCTTTGCAATCTCCCGCGAGGGAGGTTCTCGTATTGCGCGTTAACGCAACGTCGTGATTCCAAACACGTTCTCTTAATAGCTCATTCTTAATGTTCATTCTTAATGCATCCTCTCCTTTGCTCGAGCAGCTTCCTTTCATGTAAACGCGCGCAGATCTCTTATGTTGAAGAAACATCTCATTCGATTATATGTAGGGCGATATCTCTCTTTCTCTCTTTCTCTCTCTCTCTCTCTCTCTCTCTCTCTCTCTCTCTCTCTCTCTCTCTCTCTCTCGCGAAACTTTATGCACAAATCTAATTCCGTTAAATTTATTATCCGAACAGATACGTAATATAAGCGTTGGTTTTGTCTTTCTTAGGAATGCGGCCATCGTGAGGTAATATACATATAAACGTACTCTCTGTATCTTTGCATGTATGCTTGTTACACAGACTTCATTCTTTTCTTTTATCTTGTCCAAAGTGAATCGCTCGAACTGCCAAAACGTGAAATCGACATCGTCTGCTTTGCTATATTCGTTTTTTTCTTGATAGTTACAAAGGTATCGAATCGTCTTGTATTCGTACGTGTTAACCTTGTAGGTACATCGTCAACCATTTCAGCTTGTGTTACACGTGCGAGTTCATTGATCCGCGAAAATAACTACGTCTAGAAATACTATTGCGGCAGTAATTGTAATACTCGTAACTGGCATGATGGCATCTCGTATAGCTGCATGTTTATCTCGGCTTATTCGTACATAGAGATCTCTCTTTCTTTTATTATGTATTCAACTGTAGCTTGCAATAATTGATATTGATAACTGAGGGTAACATAATCGTTTTTAAGAAATTTATCTTTGATTGAATAAGATTCAAATTTATCAAACATTATTCGAGTAAATCATGCGCTTACATAAATTATACATCTATTATATTACAATCACGCTTATATGAATCATATTGAGTCAGTGAGACAGTTTGATTTCCTGCTGTTTTACTTCTATACAAATATTGCCAACGCGAATGATCTTAGATCCACAACGACGGCGATTAACTCTATAGATAAATAATTGGCATCCCATTGAATACAGTAAAGTCAAATTTCACTAAAATATTGAGTGTAATTTTAACTGACTCAGTATCTTACTATACATTAATATATGTTACATATGAAAGCTATATATGTATGTGATTCCACAAATGGCTTGTCCTGTCGATCGTTAATCATATATTCGACGTTGACATGTTCAAGTTAAGTGGAACACGACAACGTCTGCAGAATGAAATCGTGATAAATAATGGTATCGTTGCAGATCGTGCCAAATCTTGTAAGAATCTTGAAGAATTTGATCCTAGCTGGATATTCGCCTGAGCACGATGTGTCCGGAGTATCCGATCCGTTTCTTCAAGTCAAGATATTGCGTTTGCTGCGCATTCTAGGACGCAACGATGTCGACGCGTCCGAGGCAATGAACGACATTCTTGCTCAAGTCGCGACTAACACCGAAACCAGCAAAAACGTTGGTAACACGATACTTTACGAGACGGTTCTCTCGATCATGGACATCAAATCGGAGAGCGGACTTCGGGTTTTAGCGGTCAACATACTCGGTAGATTTTTACTGAATAACGACAAGAATATCAGATACGTGGCCTTGAACACGTTGCTGAAGACAGTTTACGTGGATACGAGCGCAGTGCAGAGGCATCGATCAACGATTCTGGTGGGACCCTATTCGCAGATTCATTTTCACTCGAGAAGTGAAATTCGAAATTGTTCATTATGATTAATGTTTCTTGGCTTTTGTATCTCAGGAGTGTTTAAAGGATCCGGACGTATCGATCAGAAGGCGCGCGATGGAGCTGAGTTTCGCGCTGGTGAATTTCAGCAATATCAGAAACATGATGAAGGAATTGCTCTTGTTCTTGGAACGAGCGGACCCGGAGTTCAAGGCTCAATGCAGTAGCAATATCGTAATGTCTGCGGAGAGATTCGCGCCTAATAAACGTTGGCATCTCGAAACATTGTTCAAAGTACTCGTCGCGGTATGTATCTTATTAAATTGCAAAGCGAGAGCGACGCTAGAAGTTACGATTATCAAAGTTTCTGCTTGCACTTTAGGCTGGTAATTACGTGCGAGACGACGTGGTGGCGTGCACGATACAGTTGATCTCGGAGACGCAAGCTCAACAGGGTTACGCCGTCAGCGCGTTGTGGCGAGCGTTAGAAAAAGACACGTCCGACAAGCAACCGTTGGCGCAAGTAGCCACATGGTGCATCGGCGAGTATGGTGATCTGTTGCTGTACAGTCCGCCGTCAGAAGATGCCGAAACTCCAATCAACGTAAGTTCAACTATAACAGTAATGATGTATTAGACTTGGATATCGCTAGTAGAAAGTAAGAAGAAATTATCGATCACATTTCTCTCGTGAATGCATCGTCAAATGTTCAATTTAGACATACGTGTGATATCAATTTTATAATGGTATTTTAAATTTTCTTACCAACACACAGCTGACGGAGGATGAAGTAATCGATGTTTATCAAAGGCTTCTCTGGAATCCACAGAATACTGTGGTTACGAAACAGTACACCTTACTGTCCCTCACGAAATTGAGCACGAGGTTCCAGAAAGGTCACGAGTCAGTATCGCTTCCGATTGCCCGCAATTATCTTAAGAAATCTTTCACGCTGCAACGTAATGTTCTGTAATCACGTAATACTCTGTTATTACAGGAAAATTCGTCAGATCATAGATACGTTTGGTAGCAATTTGCATATCGAATTACAGCAGAGAGGTATCGAGTTCTCGCAGTTATTCCGGAAGTACGATCACCTGCGGCCTGCGTTACTCGAGAGAATGCCGCCGATGGAAACCGCGCGACCGCAGGCTAACGGTATCATAGGCATGGTGAACGGTGAACCCGAACCGGAAGATGAAAAGTCCACGGTAATCGAACCAGCCACGACTACATCCGATTCAGTAAGTAACGTCGCATTTAATTCTTTTTCTCCCTCCCCCTTCTCTCTCTATTATGTAATTATATTGCGTTTAGCTTTTAGTATACTTTTGTCTTAAGTTGAACGATTAATTCTCAATTTTCTTTTTGACTTTAAAGTTTAAACTTTCTTATTTTACTTTAAGAAATAAGAAAATATTGTATCGACAACATATTTTATTTAACGCGATTTTTGCAGAGTGCACTTCTAGATTTACTTGGAACTACGGATGTGGGAGTGACGATGCCAACAACGACCAGTAAAAATCCCTCGCCGAGTTCGACCGCGGTAGCGCATAATAACGACCTGTTGGACTTGCTCGGAAGCTTAGATTTGAATACGCCTACGCCTGCACCTACGCTACCACCACAGCCGCAGGCGTCCACACCGATATTCAGTCCCACTAACACCAGCAGCAGCTTTCTGGTGGATGGTTTGCTCAGCACCCCGTCAGTTCAAAACGGTTCGTCCTTGTGTCTGAAACAGAACAGAACATCTTGAATTAGTTCACGTGTATATTATTTTTATCGTGAATTTGTAATTACAGATGTACCGAGCATGGTTGTCTTGGATAAGTCGGGGCTCAAAATAACGTTTAAATTAGAAAGACCGCCCGATATTCCTGATTTGTTAGTCATAAATATGTTGGCTCAAAACTCCGGAAGCACCATTTTAACCGATTTTCTGTTTCAAGCAGCAGTTCCTAGGGTTAGATGGGAATAATATGCATTTAAAAACCATAATATTCACTTATGGCATGTTAGACTAATTGTGTTTTCTACTTGCAGACATTCCAACTACAAATGTTATCCCCGTCGAGTACCGTCATTCCGCCATCTGGTCAAGTAACTCAAGTACTGAGAGTGACAAATATGAACAGAGTCAGTCGCAAATATCCATACAAGTATCGATGTAACGTCAAAACTTGAAATTGTCAGTTTTTAATCGATTTTTCTATCTTCTTTTCAGGCACAGCTAAGAATGAGATTACGTATATCATATACAGGCCCGGCCGGACCAGTTTTGGAACAAACGGAAGTGAATAATTTTCCCCTGTCGACATCACAGTGACAAGACGTAATACAAAAAACATTTGTACATATGCCTGCCTAAAATAATTAATCGAGTCTAAAGACAGACTGAGAGCAAAAAGAAAAAAAAAAACACAATGTCGTCTCTTCGTCGTGAGGAACAGTGAAACATACTTGGCAAACGGATATATCTCTGACAACAAACGTTTTTAATTAATTAAGCAATTGAACCCTTGCGAACCGCGGCGTGTATGAGACGTGATCTAAACTTCGTGAGGAGTCTCTGGGTTTGAAACGGCGAAATTTGCGATTTGATTTTCGCACTTAAATGTCGGGTCATCTGACTCAAATCACTCAAATGTGTGAGTCATCTGATCTTCGCAGGAATGAATTTCCCTACTAAAAGTATCAATCAATTCTCTCGGCACGCGTGTGTATGTGAGAGATGTGACGAATCTGTGTGTGCGCGGGTGATTTCGCGCCAGAGTCTTTTGTGAGTTAATTCGCATGTCATTGCCATCATTATCGTTTATACATAATTTTGTTACGCGGGAGAGGAACGAGAGAGTACGTGTTTCTCGTGTATTGTGTGCCGCGCGTGTGTGTGTAAGAATGAAAAGTGTGAGAGAGAGAGAGAGAGAGAGAAAAAGAGAGGAGAAAGATGTAAATATTTTTTCTAAACTAAAACACGCGGAGGTTGAGGAGATATTGTACTCGGTCGCATTCCCGTCGTTTTACGGCTACTAATTTAGCGCGTAATTTCTCACGTAGGCTAAAAAATGAAATAGAGTACGGAGATATAGAAAATAAATAAGAGAAGATGAGACATACACACATGCACATACATATACACATACACAACGCATGCCACTTGAGAGAAACATACAGTTCAGAAAAGGAGAGGAGGTTCCGTCACCAAAAGTGCTGTCGCGCTGCCCCAGTTATCGACGAGAAGGCGCTTAACTTTCACTGTAACAAATCTTTTTCTACTACACGTTTGTAAGTAAGACGCCGGATGACGCGCGCGATCGTTCTGTAAATAATTATTAGATAATCGCAATGACTAGAGAGGAATGTAGGAAAATTCTTACAACGGGGGGGCAAAAGCAAACAAATGCGAAACGCGGATCCTTTCTGATATGTGTACACGCAATAGAATCATTAATCCAATAATGAATAATACCTGTGTTTTCGTCTTCGAAAGATATTATTTCTCCTTTTTTTCTTTTTGTATAAAAGGAATATAATATACACGCATACATATACCTACGCTATAATACGCGCACACACATACACACACATACACAATTCATGTACGGACGTCTACGATACATTACGTGCGTAGCGATTCACATAATTTCAAACGTATTCGGAGTACAGAGTAACATTGGAGGGCTGAATTCTGATTGTCATGTTATCTGTCGCGCGTACGTATGTGTGTATGTATGTATGTAGAATTCATCACATCCGAGTGTATTATCGCGAAAGATCAGGACTAGCCGTTGTTTGTTGTCGATTATTTCAAGTCTTTCAAAGCTGCGTCAGAATGATATTTAATAATCTGCATGAGACGAGTGCAATTGCGTCGATAGTGTACTCTCTTTGCTCGATTGCTTATTTTTATTAAGTTAATTCTTAGGAGAATTACACGATACTACGAGTGGAAGCTGTAACATACTAACGTAACACTCTCGTCTGGCAGAGAGATTGTAATGCGAAGTGGGAGAACACACTTTGATGTTTTAAGGTTGATTTTATTCGCGAACTGCAGTTAAGTCATGTCAGTTTGTACAAAGGTCAAGAAACGTGAAGCTAAGAAATAATTATACATACGTTGAAACCAGAAAAACACAGTCGGCTTTACTTTTTAAATTATCCCGTGTTTAAACGGAGGAAGTTCTTAAGTTGCGCGCCAGACACTAACGTCGAACAACAAATTGATAACGAAGTAACTCGGTTGTACGTGTCCGTGTTGGCTTTTTATTGTTTAATTTTAGAATTGTTTTTAGTATTCAATTCGAATCATGCTTGTAACGTCAGGTGCCACTATGAGTGATGTCGTTTGTACATGCATATATGTCCAGGAGAAAGAGAAATACGGATATAACTCGCTCATATTTAACATCATGTTCTACGATTTTATATATATATATATATATAATTATATATATAAAATTGTAATAATATATACTTTATCGAATTTTTTTACGCGAGAGCGCTGTGTGATGAGGGACAAATGTGAGTTCTACATAAGTATACAATTTAGGAAAAATAGTATGCCGGGAGCAATAGTTGGCGGAATCGTTTTCAGATATCTATTTTCTTTAGATTTTCCTACGAATTAAGTTTAAAAAAAAAAGGAACACGTTGATTGTACTTAATTATTTACTTTGCTCCGCGATGTAACAGCATTATAGCGAGTATACTTGTATTAAGTGTAGATGTGTATGTGTATATGTGTGTATATATATATATATATATATATATATATATATATATATATATATATATATATATATATATATAATCATAAAGATATCCTAGTTTTTTTTTTAAGAGCGTCGATCTAGCACTTTTTTTCCAAGTTGTATATCGTACGTTACCTTCTGATTTTTTAACCGGAAAACTTTTGTATAACTTCTCAGAGGTTTGCGATTAGGTTTACAATTGAGTATACAACTCTACGCATTTTAGCTCCGTCCCTGAATACGTTGTTGTGCGAGATGCGAGAAAAAGAAAGAGAGAGAAAGAATGCGAAGTGTAGGAATTATATTAATTAGAACAGGTGGGTGCGTTTTTGAGTGGCCTTGTCCTAAAGTCTGTGACACAGCGCGTCAGCCCTTCAGTGGGGGTTTGCTCTGCCTACTTGTTCTGAATATTATATATTAGTTTTATAAACATACCTATAAATATATATATATATATATATACATAAACGAGGATATTGATTAATGATAAAAATGCTGTATATATACTTTCTAGCGAATCGAGGTGTGAAAATAAAATGTATTTTTATTCCATTACGTTTTCAGAATCCGCCGTTCGTGTGTACTCTGCGTGGTCCATAAAGTCATAGCAAACGTTGTCTCCACTCAATTGTATAATAATCACAATTATCTTGATACTTCATCCACTTTTATTTCTCGATCTTAAAAAATTTCATACAACAATTTCCTTACGAGCCAAATGACGTCGTTTCTTCAATGTCTTATGGGGTATACCGTGACAGTTTTACATAGATACGTAGTTTTAGTTATAAAACATTGCTGTACTTATAACTGAGATATCATTATCACGCACATTACGAAGTCTCATTATTTTTGTTGAGCACCGCTCACATTGCCACCAACGTGATTAAATAGCCTGTCCTTGATTATTTGTGCCATTAAACCGTGAATAACCTCAATAGTAGTCTTACAACTGTCTCTAGTAGCCTTTATGAGCTTCTCCACCGTGCTGCGATCATGAGGATCTGTGCCACCTAGGACAAATCCTCTACCTAACGCTACCTCCGATTGTTCCAGCTTGTCAGACAGATCGAAAATCTGCCCTGTAGTGTAGTCCGCGTTCGTCAACAAGCTTGACGAGCTTAAGGTGTTCACCCAGTACTTATTCCACAATGAATCTAGCAGTCGTCTATCCAAGGAGGACTTGAAGTAGGACACTTCTAAAGAGTAATATTGCTTGCAGTGAACACCAAAGTCTTCGATTTTATTCAGGGGTATCGTCTGGTACTCAGACGGTTCCTCATTCGCCGGTTTATACCCCTGCAAATATAATTCATTGTGTGAATTGGTAATAATTATATTTCGTGTGAATTGGTAATAATTATATTTCGCATATTAAAGATTGCATCGATCATAGACGTAGTATCATGGACGCATACAGCCAGAAAAGTAAAGCCAACATGTAGAAAGAGACCATAGACATAATATACATAGACTCCGCATACAGTCAGAAAAGAGAAGCTAATATGTACAACCCCTCTGTTCTCTGTCTCTTTCTGCACAGACAAAGTGTGCAATAAGATTTAAGATTTTTACTTGCCAGTCTAGTCGGGATACTGTTGCGCTCTATAATATTATAGAAACGAGAAATGGATGCATGCACAACAAAAATGACAAAATAGGAAGAAAACTATAGCCTCTCTATTCTAGCTCTCTTTTTAGAGAGCTCTTTCTAGCTCTATTTTAGCTCGCTTTTTATGTTGGCTTCACTTTATTAGACGACAGAACATAGGACATTCGGAGTCCATAAATACTATGTTTAAGGCATCGATTAACTGTGCGTCGATGACTTCATCGACACGATTTTTCGGCGTGACTTCACAAGAACAAGATCGCCAATTTCGGAAAGTAAAACTGTTTTTATTGGATCAGAGTTTGATTCAATTTTTGACTTGAACTTTACTATTTTTAAATTTTTTTTTAATATTACTAGTACATATATGTGATCATTTATTGAAATTCGAGTAAAACTTTTTAACTAAGTCTGATGATTAAAAATATTGTAGCATACTTTGGGGTAAGTTCTGAATGCACCCAAACAAACTTTGCCGGCGGAGATGGTTCTCACGGGATCAATGACGATCGCGACGAACGGTTCTTGAAAGTTTTGATTGAGCATCTGAGTCGACACGTCGATACCTGACAACCAGCATCCATACCCAGGATGACTGTGATACCAGCCGATTGCATTCTCTTGTCTACCAACCTGAGAAATGAAACAGATCACAATAGTCTCTTTTATTATTCTTGCAAAATATTTTTTAACTTATATGTTATCAAAGATAGCAGACTGTATATACTTGCTTAGCTGCTTCTATGTAAGCTGTCATGTATTCATAAGCTTGAGCTTGAGCATTCACTCTGGTTTCAGTTCCTTCTACTGGCAAGGCGAAGGAATCCATCACGATCATTGTATTCGCTGTTACTTTACCGAGCAGGAGGCCCATCACCTCCAATGTTCCACCAGATCGTGCGTGCATGACCATCTTCAGTAAGGCTAGTGCAGATATTTTGATGTCTTTGAAGAAGTGTGGACTAAAAGAGAAAGAACAGAATAAAGTCTATGTTAACGATTCTCTTAATTCCAAATCATTGGTGACTCACTCTTTATCCCATGGCTTGGCAGTTAATATGTCCTGTTGCTCTTTCCTGTCGTATCTGTAAATCTCATCGATTGTGCTGATGGTCTCGACGTTATTCGCCAGTTCCCATGTCTTCTGTGCGATGGTATTCTGGTCCGAAGACGTGCTAGCCATACTTTCAAATAAATTAGCATTATCAGACCCACTCTTCATTTCGATCGATAACGGTTCATTTGTGCTATCTTTGTTTTCAACCGTAAATTCACTAGTATCCATTTCTCCTACTAACAAGCTATTATTATTATCCATCGACAAGAGTACATTATCATACTCCATCTCTTTGGCAAGCGATTAACAATTATGATACAACAGACTAAATAAAAGAGATCCGATTTATTGTAATGTCAGGAGGTGGCTTGTGTGCTTGCTGTGTATAGCGTGACAAATGTAGGCATGTAGGAATTAGATCAGTGCGGCACAAGGTGATTTTAGCGAGTGTAAATAAGCGTAGATTATTATGTATTGTGCTGTTCGGTTCGCTACTAAGAATGTGTTAGAAAACAATACGTTCCCAGGCAAACATAAATCTCTTCAAATTATGTGAGAGGTTAGGATGCTCGAAGGGCATCGAATTGTCAACATCACTCAGTGTAATATTATTGCTAAGTGCATATACTAACTGGACGTTAGTCACTCGTATTTCTCTAAAGTATAATCGCGAATCACGCCTTCGTCAATCACATAGACATAGCTTCGATAAAGCTTTCGGAATATTTCGCGTCTGTTACTTTTTCTGTTACATGGGGTACGTTCGGAAACGTCACTCGGATATAATCGTTGTATTGAAGTGAGAGAGAGATAGGAGAGTGAGATGAAAAGAGAGGGAGAGCAACCGGGTGAGGTTTCCGAACGCACCCTTAACCATATACCAGAAGAGGTTAGGACTTACGAGATGTGACATCTGTTTTTTCAGCTGCACTGATGTAATAAGTTAGAATAACCCCTTGTCCACAACCTTACTTTAATCTTTAAGCCGTAATAAATTGATCAACTACAGTCGATTATTTTAAAAATAATCAACTGTGGTTAGTCAATTTCTTACGGCTTAAGAATTAAAGCAAGGTTGTGGACAAGGGGTAAGACAAATATATTTTATCTCACTTTAACTTGTGGCACCAGTGCAGCAGTGCAGCTGAAAAGATCTGACCATTGTTCTCTGTAACTGAATTAGTGCATATTTTTAGAACTTAAAAAGAAACACAACTGTGACTTGGTGTAAAAAAGAGGGAAAGAGAACTAGTACCTAGGACTAGTTCTCTTTCTGGTAGAACTTGGTACTGTATTTTTCACGCCTTTTTATTGACGCCAAGTTTCATTTTTCTTATACGAGCATCCCGTATAAGTTTAAAAAGCGACAAAGCGCACCTGACGTTCAAATGCACGCCGAGAATACGATCTGATACGACCTCTAGCGATGAATGTCGGAACTCAGTAGCGTTATCGATATATTATCGATGCCAAAGTTATCGATTCTCTCGAAATTTTAATATCGTTCTCGTAATTAAATTATCGATGCAATTCCCGCGAATTATTCACAGTGCCGCGGGCGAGACAACAAACGAACCCCACGAGTGTGCTTTCATTAACTAAATAACATAAAACAATTAACGTACTTGTTGTCGCGATGATTGACCCAACGAGTCCTCCGCCGACGGCTCTCGGCGCACAGCACTTGCGAAAGTGTACAAACGGTAAGAGAACAGACTCATTCGAGGTCAGGACCGTGAACTACATCGAAGCTGGAGGTGTCGAGGACCGGACGTGCCCGAAGTTAGGTTACCTGGGTGTCAGATGTCAAAGGGTCGGGATGTCACTGATGTCGCGAGAGCTGTCAGAGTTGAGACATCGCGCTGAAGATGTCAGGTCTGGAGTGTCAGGGCACGAATTGCACCTCGGCCTCAGTCGGGCTCATACGGCCCTACCGATCACCGTGGCGACGGCGTGTCCTAGCCAAGCGTACTCACAACGTCACGGTGCGTGCAAGCACGTTCGTGTGTGATCCAAATAGTCATTAATAAAGCGTGCGCGCGCGATGGGACGGGCGTTCGTCTGTTGCCGATACTTCCTGGTGTTCGGCGCGATCATCCTCGGAGTAAGTTGACCCGCTCGCGCGATCAGAGGTGCGCCGGCGACGCGACGACAATGGTCGTGAGGGGGACGCGACGACCGGGGTGAAACGGTTCGGGAATGGCTCGCGCCGCAGGTGTCGTTGCACCGCGGTATTCGATCGAGATCTAGCCCGTGATCTATTAATAGGTCTGTCCGCTTCGGTTGCGCTTTCTGCAGCTCTTTGTTTGCCTATTTCTTTCTTTCTTCCGGTGCCTCGGCTCGAGCGAGACAGACAGACAAACAAAGCGTTGCCCTTTTGTGAATCTGCCGATTCACGTCTCTTTGTTTTTTCGGCTCAGCTGTCTGTCCGACGCTTTTTAGCAGATCTTTGCATTTGTTGCACGTCCAAATCGCTTCTGCGATTATGCATAGATTTTATTTCAAACAAGGAAAGCGCAATTAAATCAAACGGAACTACGGTGTCGCGCAGCTACGCCTGCAGCTGCTGAGATCGCTCGTAATCGAGAGTTCGACAATACGACTCTTATTGTGCGTGATATGACGTCGGCGCGTTTGTGTTTTCGAAGTGGAAGCGTTAGTTATGTTCCGCAGAGAAGCTGCTGTTGTAAAATTTGCGAATCTAATTAGTATGCGTTCTTAGATTTGCGTTGTTAAGATTAACCCATAGGCCCGATTCTACCAATGTCGATTGGGCCTTGATCTGAGTTTAAGTCTTTGTTTCAAATAGTTTAAACGCGGTTTAAGGTTTGATTAATGTTTGTGGAATCGGGACTTAGTGGCTCTACATGGATATTTCGAATTCGGACGGTTTCTATTCATAGAAATTTCTCAGCATGTTGAGGGTTCCGACCTGTTCTATTTTTCATTTCAATTCCATTGTTCATTTTTTATTATAAAAAATGCATAATGAAGTACAGGTATTTGTTCTAGAAACTTGAAAGTATATCTGTGAATTTTTATAGATTTTTCGAACCACTTTAAAGATATAATAAAAGGACTCGAAAGATCCATGTAGGGCCACATGTGGTGCCGTTTTTCACATAAGCCACTAAGGGCCGGTTTTTCAACTTGGATTCAAATTTAAACTCTATTCTAACAATGCATTTGTTTTGTTTAAACAGAGTTTAAGTAGAAATCTAAGTTTAAACTATCATTGAAAAAAACCGGCCCCAAAGATTAAAAGTATACGCTAACTCGCGAACTGCACAAGCATCTTTCACTGCTGAATGCGGCCATTGTCGATGGAATAAATTACTACAATCCCGGAAGAATGCAATTAATATTGAGAATGCAATGCTGTCACGTATAAATATACTGGTATAAACGCTGGTTTATACAGTGTATTTTGCGGAAACGCCTTATTGAACATCGAAATGTAGGAACTTTTCTATGAAAAATTTCCCATTAAGGATTATCGATGTCTAGGCATGTAACTATTTTTGGATATTCTTGTTTCGGTTTTTAAATACAAATGTTAATTAGCAGATGTTTCAACTTTCAACATAAAAAATCCTATACATGCTTCGTGAATTGGTTCTTTTACCTTACATCGCCGACACATTTTCTTTCTTGGGAAACATCGTATTTTTAGATTACTTTGAGCTTTGGCTCGTCGTAAAATAGTACGTTCGTCGTTCGATGCATCTTTTTTTTTAATCGCTTACGTAAAAAAACGTGCGGAATTACGTGATGCGCGTTGCGGTTGTTTTCACGTTACGTACCGCCTAATAGAAGATAACGAGAGTTGAAGGAGACATTGTAGCAATTGCGGGGCGACCTAATTAAGACTTTACTCCGCTGCGATTGTGGAAAAATATAATATCATGTGTGCATTCGGATTGCGCGATAGCAACGGTGAAATCGTTTTGTTCGCTCTCCTCTAAGTTTCAATTTGCATCGTACATGCAGCTATGATTCCAGTAATACTTGCTCTTTCATGTTCGTTACTTCATTCGTTACTTGCTTTCATAATACTTCGATGAAAGTCACTTATTTGTAAGATAAATGTCCCAAGATTAAAATTACGATGAAACATCGTGTCGTAATATTAACAGCGTTAGCTTTGAAAACTTCAACATATCGTTTCAGTTGAAAGAGGCGATCACATCTTAGATAATCTTATATTACTCACTGATAGCTCGTTCTATTAATAACAGTTCACATCGTTGAGCTGAGTTGAGTGATATGGCATGTCGACTTCTCGGAACATAAAAACATATGAAAACTCGAGAGCGATTTTTATTCCGGAACTTATTCCCGTCAATGATTTACAGTATGATCAACAAGAGTTTGAAACGAATCGTTCTGAAAACCGATTTTTCAGCGCGGAATTACATTGTCTATAGCATGATCAACATCAAAACAAAACATCAAAAACTGTCAATCGGAATCATGGTGTTTCTAAGATTCAATCTTCGATTCAAAGTCACGTAACTCGCGTCAATATTTTCATTCGCGTTTTTCGCTTTTACTGAGAAAAATATTATTCTACTGTTGGAAAAAGGCGTTTAGTTTCTTCTAAGCAATGATTATTTTTAAAAGAAAAAAATATTTTATCATTAACACATTTATATTAAACGATAAAAGATAAGCAAAATCGGCGAGCATCCCTTTGGTGAAGGTTTTTTGTATAAGGGTCAATCTTTCAATAGAAGTTTAAACTTAGATTTAAGTTAAAACTATTATTTAACTACTATTGAGTTAGAAGCTTAAACTCTGCTTAAAAACATCAAACACATTATTAGTTTAATCTTAATTCTAAGTTTACTATTACTATTGTGATAAATCAACTCTAAAGAAGCTTTTCTTTGTTTTTCCTTTTTTTTTGCAGATCTCCGGGGCGATCGTGAGTATATTTTCCGGTTACTTTATTTATCAGCTGTACGAGTACGCACCTCTCACACCTGACAATGTGTGCGGGTCATCCGGCACTTTGTTGGCGATGGGGGTCATTACCTGTGGCATCGGATGGTTTGCTTTTCAGTTCTTGAATTTTTCCAATAGGGGCCAAGTCATAACCGTAAGTCGATATTTTTCTCCTAGACTCCCATTGATCGTAATTTATTCTGCGGCGACGTAAATGAAATTCTTTTCTCACACATAGTTCGCTGTAGCATTGACGATTATCACGGTGACTGAAATCGGTGTTGGGATTTGGGCTTTGGTGCGACACGAGCAAGTAGATGCCTTGCCAACCGCGCGACTTGAAGAGAACTTTGCTCTCGCGACCACGGATCAGAAATCTACTTGGGACCACATGCAGGCAAAGGTGAACATTCCATTGGCACAAATTTACCGTGAATTATACTTTACAAAGCCCTTAGAGCTGTAAATTGTATTTCGATAAACGCGACAGTAAAGCGCGCATAATAAAGTGAATAAAAACGCGACACATTTGCAACGAGATGAGACTGTAAATTGAACTGGAAATCCGATTGAGATTCCGATTGAAAATGTGTAATTGCAGCTACACTGCTGCGGACTAGATGGGCCTGCTGATTACCGCGGCCAGGACTCGATTCCTTGGTCGTGCTGCAATACAACCTTGGTGAACGATAATATCACCGAGGCTGCCTGCACGAATATTTATAAGCGCGGATGTCAGCACGTAGTGATAAATCATATCAGGTCGATTCTCCTGCACGTTTTCCTGCTGGCGTTGTGTTCCGTGCTGTTACAGGTGAGTGATCTCATCTTCCGGATAGAGTTTCGTTTGTAAAGTGAGACTAAATACGTGCCGATAAATTACAGATCTCCTTCATATTGTGTATATGCTGCTATACCAAAATCTACAAGAAGAAGATGGAGAAGAGATCACAATCAGAGGTCGGCAAACATGTGAGCGAACCAGATACGAAAGACAATCTTCTAGCGCGCCGATCAAAACACCTGAACAACGCCGACGACTCCTAGCCAACGCTGCGAAGCGTGAACGATGGGAGTGTACGTCACTTCAGGACGTTGCGTCACTGTGATATGCGGAGTACATTTCGCGTAGTGACAATATCGACGGTGTATACACATACGGGCGATATTGACCTTGCTTCTGCGATACAGTGCGATCCGGGTAGGTTGAAAAGTGTCCCAACGACGGATTTTTCAGCAAATTTCGAGCCGATCTTACCTCCAGAGCTACCAAAACACTCACGATATTAAACGTGGAATCATTTGATAAATAAATCTCGATTAAGATGTTCGATAAGATAGGGCCAATCGAGAGAACAATTCTTTTTTTTTGTAACCTGAGATAGACGCGTTTTTTGAAGAAGTGCCTTTTATTTTTCGTTACGATTGAATCTTCTCCTTCAGGGAAACTGTACTGAGAAAAAACACTTGAAAATTTATCTGTGGGATGTAAGGTTTATTTTCACGAAATAAACTTTTACTCACAAATAAATTTACAAGTATTTTTTTCAGTGTAGGTCGGAAACTTGCTCTTCGAAGAATCTATTTTTGAAATATTTTTCAACAGATATGTCTTGGACGCTCTGTAAAAAGATAAGAGCGATAGCGTTTCCGAGAAATGCTAAAACCGTGTTCGCACCTAGATTTGTACTGCCGTATCGTTAGTACCTCGTAGATTTCTATTTCGAGAAACGAGAGCGTTTTCTTTTGTCCCCTTAATACAGTTTTATATTTATTTTTACAGCAACCTCACGAAAGTTGCATTTTTTTCCGAGAGAAAGTCGTCTTGTTGCCACAGAACAACGACTTACAACTGCAGGTGACAAAGCGATTTTCAGAAATAAAACGCCTTAACATTCATGAGGCTTTTCGTTGATCGAAGTTGTTTTAAACGATATAATTAGCGGCGACACTCTTACTTGTATAAAATTAAGCAGAGAACTCTGTCTTAAATTCTACTATGAATCATAGATCGTTTAAAGCAAGCTTCAGTTTGTACTTAAGACTTTTTGTTGGTGCAGCTAATAGTCAATAATTAAGCAATAAAGTGCACAGTGCAATGCTTTAAATCAATGGCACAAACTAACTAATAAGGAGCATCCGTTACACATGCGTCATTCTCATATCTTGCACTATCTAAAAAAAACACTCGAATGACTTTAGATAAGTAGACTAATTACAAGGTATTAATCCATTTTTAATGGAAACATAGTGTAACTGTTATCACGGCTGTAGCTTTTTTTTTGTTTTAGTTGATCCTTTTGTTTGCATTTGCAAACATTCGCCGGCGATTTTTTATTCCCAGTATTAAGTGAGGTGCATAAATCTTTCGTTATGGACCGTATGTGGAAAAAGACTAGTGTGAGTCGTGTGTGTATGATACCAAGAATGAAAGTTATTTTGTATGAAGAACAGGTGTGCGTTTGACCTTATGAATATCTTTTTTTTACGACAGAAGAATGTTGAAATATAATCTTAAATTTTAATTTTAGTTTTGTGTGACAATATTTAACGATTTTCCATTGTTAAATAAGATAGAAAAGAATGAAAATTTGGATATAACAAAATATAGCATTTGCAAAATACACACCTATTGTTCGCAGAAGTAATTTTTCTAAATCCAAGCATTTGGGAGAAAGACTTCCTCAGAAGCTGTATTTAAATAATTTCTGATGTATTTTATCTACAATATATGTCTTGCAAGGGTCAATCAAATCTGAGCACATTTTTGTTGAGATGTTATGCTATGCATCGTTTGGCTGATTCTGAATTCCCATCGCATCATATCCGTCCAATTGAATCCTTTCGTCTGTGAAAAGCGTTTGCAGAAGTATTGTACGATTAGTACGAAGTATTGTACTTCTCTATAAGTCCCGTTTTCTTTCACAAAACATGACAAAGCATAACTAAATTGAATTCATAAGACTTGTTAGTCATATTCTCAATAATACCAAACTCAGACAGATATATCGCCGGTAGATAAGATTAACGGATTGGATCGTTAATGTTATAGAATTCAAAGTAATCAAACAAAAGATCGATCGAGAGAATTCTGAGTAAAGTCCGATATCGCGCTGCAAAACTTCAGACTGCCGAATCGTTGATAAGTCTCGCAATTTGACGATCACTGAACTTTTTCTCATCTGCAATTCGTCTTCTGTGATCTGAGCTAAGAGAAGAGATATAGGCCGTTGTCCGAAAAGCGCTCACAATGCTGAGAGCGTAAACACTGTTCCGAAATCATTAGCGCGCTTAAGCACTGCTCATTTCGGAACGCACTCTCTGTGTGCTGCATACGATATCTTAAGAAAATTAAAGACACTGACAAGTCATCGAGTACAGACAAAAGTGAGAATATTCCATATTTCTTCACATTGCTTTTGGTTTCGTTTTTCATATTCACTTTTTACCAATTCGATCAAAAAGGTTGCATCTGTAGGAATTACGTTGCAGAAAATTAATTACAAGATAGTTTATGTAACATAAATTTTACTAAAAAGTCTAAGATCACAAATATAACCTCTCACGAAGTGCTTTTTTTTTTCTTATCTACTGCAGCTTTTTTTTCTTATCTCCGATGTTACTTTTAAAATTATTGTTTCTTTTGTATCTTCTAAATATACGGGTAATTCCTCCAAATCTTCTGTAGCCATTTTTATTGTAGTATACTTACTTCAATCAGCGAAAATATTTACATATGTACACCATTTAAAAACTTGCTACTTTTTCCGCGCTTGTTACGTCAGTGCACACAGTGCTTCACCTTCCGACCATGAGCATGAAAACTATGACGTCACTTCGAGTGAACTTGCTTAAACCAATTCGGAACGCATAAGAGCGCGCTAATAATGCTGTGAGCGTTTTTCGGACCGCGGCCATATTCTATTGTTTGCCGAGCGGGACTTCTCAGTGCGAATTTGGTAACGTGAAGATTAAGGTTATGACCTTCATTTATATTTCTAACAAGAACTCGTACTCGTTATCGCATGGCAACGCTTGCGAGAGATTCTTGCGAGAGTTGAGCAACTTCAGGAGAACAGAAGATCTCACTTTTGTTGTGCGATCGCGGTAGATTACACGCATCGAGAGATATGCGAACACGAACACAAACGCCGCTTCGGTTCGCCGAATGCTCACGCTACCTGAAGTGCGTCACCTTACCGCGAATCACGCTCCGCCCTTTCTCGGGCGTCTTCGGACGGACTCGGCTAACGTTGGCTGTCGTGGCGCCGTGCGAGCGCCGCTATTGAATTGAATCAGTTAAATTCGTGCCGCGGATCGTGTCGTGACGTGCAGTGCTGTGTCGCGAGTCCGTCCCAACGTGAGCAGCTCGCCCGATCTTCGTCCTTCTGTCGCAGCAGAGTACTTTGTCATCGCCGCCGCCGTACTATCTAATCGACAAGCAAGATGGGGTGCGGAATGGGAATGATCAAATACCTGCTCTTCATATTCAACTTCATCTTCGCGGTGAGTCTCTCCATCTCTCTCTTTCCCCCCGAACGAAATGCGCGCGCGATCGCATGAATGTGCGTCCTGCCGTGTCGTGTCCCACGTTCAATGACGAACGCGAGAATGCTGCCTTTTCGACGCTGATGTCGCTCTCGGTGAAAAGTTGAACGATCGCATTTGAGGCCGGGAACGGTGTTGCGGCTCGGTCGCGTCCTTATCAAACAACATAGCCACCGTCGCTCTCTGTCAGATTCCGAATTCCGTTCGTCCAAACTCAACGTGGCTATAGTTCTCTGAGACTGTTCGCCGCGGGAGAATCGCTGCTCAAATGTTCAATGTGGGACACGCGAGAGCGGGATAGGGATTTGGCTCGCGGCCGTGCGAGAGGAATGCGAGGCGCAATAAACGGCTGACTTGTCCGGCACGAAAATGGCGAGATGAGAGGGTCAAAAGATGGCGTCGCGTCCCGCCGTTAAACTCGCGCCGAAAATACGGCGTCCCCCCGGCTGTTGTTTATAGCGTGCAGCTTTCGCGGAATCTGTTTACCGGCTCGCGTTCCGCGAACTCTACTGCGCGTTGCTTAATCCCGCGTTGCTCGTTTCGTCCTTGAATTGCGGATCGCGGAGATTGTCCTGCGCCGCGCGGCATTGCTCGCAATTGTAGTCGCGTGATCGTTGCAATTTTTGCGAGCGCCTCATTGTAGATTTTTCGATGCTGCCTACGCGCGTCGAGCGGATGAGATCAGCCGATTGCGTTCTCGGTGGAATAATAGTCGCTGTTCTCGGCGGACGAGAGGTGTCGCGCTGAAACTGCGATCTAGACCCAGTTCCACAACCTCTAGTTAACTGACCGGTTATTCCATTGGACTTGACCAATCGCATTTAGCATTAAGAAGAGTTAATCAGAATAAACCAATCACTGTTGAGACTTAATCGGTAGTTAAAGTTAAAGGTTGTGGAACTTGTCCTTAATGCATGATAAACTTTTAACTTTTCATTTGACACCATTTTTGTCACTCGCGATCGTCGACCGCCACGGAAATGCGGCCTCCGAAATAAGGAAGCCCGCGCACGCGGGTTTCCGCACGCTTTTACATGTTTCCGCAGCCCGAGTCGAAATTTTCATTCTTTCGACTTCAGTATTCCATTTAATGTCTATTTCGATACTCTGAAATGCCAAGTGGGATCTATTTCCATATGTGTTACATATACACTGATCCTTCGGAATGTACAGATGTTAGGAAACTGGAAAGAGTAGGGCTAAAATTTCGACTCGGGAGGGCCGATTTTTCGATAATAATTTGAATTTGGATTTTAGTTTAAACTCGGCTCCAACATAATGTGTTTGTGTGATATGTGCTTGAAGTTTAAATCCATGAAACTGCTATCGAAGAGTCGGCCCTCAGGGCTGATTTTTCAACAGTGGCTTGAACTTGGATCTAAGTTTAAACTCTATTTAGCTACGTTAAACACACATATGATTAGAATGGAGTTTAAATTGAAATTTACGTGTAAACTGCTATTGGAAAGTCGATCCCCTAATGTAGCTTCCTTTTATCCAAGCTTCCAATTATCTAAGCATCCTCTTATGCGGTTAATTAATAAAGTGGGCTTTTTGTGACTAATGACGGAATTTGGTTTTCCCCGTGTCAACGATGAGCAGTATCATAATTATGAGTCATTTTTTTTCGATATATATAAACGTCCGTCGTGGTCGTGGTCGACTGACTCACACCTTGTCGATAAGAAAAAGCCAAGGCCGAAGAATTTGCAGAACCGTGTAAACGTCGTAAATTAAAGCGTCACGCATTTCTCGTGTCACCTTTTCGATCGCGAGTATTGATTCATCGTCGATATTCGTAACCTGATATTTCAGTTGCAACGGTAATTGCCGCGTTGCGAAAAGGCAATTACGATAAATGAGTCGGAGCGTTCAGCAACATACACTCCGCGCCCGATAGATCGAAAATAGATCGCCTTTATTCTCTGCGTCGAAATAACCATGACGGAATAACTCGGTAACTTTCTTCATCGTGAATGAATAGTTAATGCGACTAGTTAGTCGTTATCAATGTACAGCCTACGTTATAGTTATCGTAAGGTCACTCAATTACTGCACCCACAATGCTATCGCAATACAATCGTCATGTGTCGCAAGTGGTTGCACACAGGATGGTTCGCGGTTATGGCTTACCCCTTGCTTTAATTCTTAAGCCATAAGAAATTGACCAACCACAGTTGATTATTTTTAAAATAATCTGTGGTTGATCAATTTATTACGACTGTAGTTGGCTTAAAGATTAAAGCAAGATTGTGGACAAGGGGCTAGTGGCACACAGAAAAACTTAAGCAGTAAAACAATTGACCAATCACAGTCGTTGATTCGTGGACCATAAGAAAAATCAGCGACTATGATTGTTCAATTTGCTTACCGCTTACATCTTACTGCTTAAGTTTTTTTGTGTGCCATGGCCCTTATCCCCGTCTGCTCCTATCGTGCCCTCTTGAGAAAGCGTAAATGTAAATGTCATAAAACGCGCGATGAGATTTCTTCTTCGTGCGATCCGTTCGAGGGGGAAGTTGAAAACATATTTTTATTATATACATACGCGTAGTACAAAGAGCGGGTGATAACCTCAGTTCACCCTGTACATGATATTTCAGAGGGGTATTATTAGCGACTTTTTAAACTTGTTCAGCTTGTTCTGCAGAATACACATCTTATTTACACAAGAAAGATTTTTACATTATTTTTATTGTCTATTTTACACGGAGGAAGAAATACTCGAAAATTTATCTATTTATCTGGACTATAGAGTTTATTTCACATAAGTAAACTTCATATCTCACAGATAAATTTTCAAGTATTTTTTAGATTCTCTATTATCAATTTACCTTGTCACTATCATCGTTGGAAATTGAGATTGTTTTTCTAATCGCACGAAAAGTTTGATTGGATTAATCAGAAATTGATTCATCCAACTAGACTTTTTCCGTGTGGTATAGCAACTTTAACACTAATATATGAATGACGTAATCGGGGAAGTCGCCCACACGAAACAATAAGAAGAAACTGTGCAAGGGTCGCGGGTGATTTTGCTTCTACTTCTTTACTGTCACTTTTTCCAGTTGGTTTGCTTACTACACGGCTGGTCACAATGGCTGTTTCTTTTACGACTCAAGGTCCCTCGCGTTCGCTCCCCTTCGACGTCATACTCGTCGCGCATTGAATTCCGCCTCGTACGGTCGCGGAACTCGTCCTCTCGTTGGAGGACAAAGGAAGTCGTTGCGTAAGAGACACCGTCATCCCGAATAGTTCCTTCATCCGAAAGTCGATATGCGAACAGGATCAACGGCGCCCAGAGCCACCGAATGCATTGTCGTAAAAGATACGTCTCTCGATGAGAAAAAGAGGAGAGGAAGAAGAAGAAAAAGAGGAATGACGTCTTGAAAGAATAAAACAAATATGACTACGCGTTTTGCGTCGTCGTTGGAAACCTACTTTTCACGCGCAGTTTGCTCGCAGTCGCGCTGTTTTTCTTTTGTCCTCTCGGTTTACAGAGAAAATCTGAAACGGCCTTGCCGAGTGAACCATTCAGTACGACATTAGAACAATGCTAAACATATTATCGTAAGATATTCGACGTCCAACAAAATGCATTATTCGACGCACGTGGTCGCGATGAACTCATAGCTGCGCGTAATTTCGTTATGACTAATTATTATTTTAGTACGCCCATCGCCTGCGTAAATCAAGGTGATGATAAGAAAGATACATCGGTCCAAATATTAAAATATTCAATAAAACAGCCAATTATTGATCTCCCTTTTATTTGAATCTCTCTCCAAATACTACTTTGATTACACCCCCCCCTCCACAGAGAGAGAGAGAGAGAGAGAGAGAGATTCAAATAAATTTGCTATTAGTATGAACACCGAATATTTTTTATTTCTTACACTTTTTTTACTCAGTACAATAGTTACAATAAAGATGTGCATATATATATATATATATATATATATATATATATATATATATATATAAAAGTAGAACAAACAAATCCTCTTATAAAAAGCTAAAATTTTAAGAGAATGTATAATTCCCTATTTGAAAAAAAAAAAAACAATTTTTTCTGCTGAACGCAGTCATTGAGAGCAAGCTACAAATTTACCTGCAATGCTGGTCACATAAAAAATCGGGTTTTTTTTTTCTAGAATATCAATGACTAAGAGAATGTCAACAATTGGATGTTTCATCCCACGCTAATTTTCGGATTTCTATCGCCAACGCTTAAATACGCGTAGTTTGTATTAATTACGCACCCATTATTTATCAGCCGCTAGATGGACAAGCGATCGTCGTTTCAGATGTAAACCGGACACCTATACGGGGTGGCTAAAATTAGTAGGTGCGCAGCGGGCGATCTCTCTTGTTGCTCGCTCGCTGTGCAGCGTTTCAATGTCGTGTTCAACTTCGACGGGGAAAATACACTCTGCGAAGAAAAACATATCTTCTCTGTCTTGCGAGATATTCCTATTATCGTGACGTAAAAGGAGGGAACGCGTATCGACTACGCGAAATTTTCCACGAATTAAAAACGGATGAAATGGATATGCCGAAGATAATTGGCCATAATTGGCCACACAAGAATGATTGTCCAATTATGTGATTTTTGAGTTTTTCTTTTTTTTTACCACAATGGGTAGTTCATACGTCTTTCTATATAAAAAAGATTCAAGTCTCATAGACCCTTAGATAACTTTTATTTTTGCTAGATGCGCCCTTTTTACCTAATTTTTTAAACTTAACCCAGGGTTTAATCCAAGGTTAAATTTATCAATGACTATCTTTAAAGAGAAAAAAATTGCTTGACTTGCAAAGAATCTCAGTGCTACTTGTGCTTTTTCATTTATATATCAAATTTTTGTCTTCATTTTTCTCGAAACGTATGGATTGAATCGTTCTTGCCTAACTACGGAATAATTAACTGAAAATTTTATCTTATCAGAGACATATTT